GTGTTTTATTTCTTCTTACTTGTTGCTTTCATCTCTCCTAATAACATGATCATAATATATTTTTTGTGACAATCACCATCAAGAAAGGAGCATTTTTGTGAGAAAGAGAGAGTTTCTTGAATAAACACAAGAAAAATAATACAATTCAAGTAGAGAGACAAAGTATGTTAGACAGTTATTTCCTATTCACTTTTTTAATTAGGGTTAACAGATTACAAGTGAATAATAACCAACATCTCTCAACAAACTGAGAGAGAAACCTATTTATAGACTATTAGCATATGTATGTCATGTATGATGATAACGCTCATACATGACATGCATATCTAATGCATGATAAAATACATAAACAACTTTGACTACGCATGCTCGGACATACTTCTATTACAACCTGCACAACTTTGACTTCTACATGCTTTATGACTTCTCGAAAAGTATACTGATAGTGTCGAAGTAATAAAATAAGATTGTATCCACATGAACTGCTATTTAACAAAATAATAGTTGTGCAAGTTTAGAAAGTAATAATTGGGGGGGTTTCGAGTTTGATTAAGAAATATAAAAGTTGTTCTAAAAATGATGAGAAAGCGATTAGGTTTTACAGCGAATCCCTTATTTCTCCCTTGTTGATGTGTAATGTATTACATGAACGATAAAGTCGTTATATTCCCATTGCGAACTAACAAGGCTATTATACCCGATCCCTTGGTGTATACCTCACTAATTCATACTAGAGGTCTCTTATCCTTATTCAACCAACATAAGTGAAATTAGGCAATATTATGGTGCGTTAATTCAAATGTCACTACTAGAGGTCTCTTATCTCTATTCAACCAGCATAAGCACAATAATTTCCCTAGTTCAAATGCATGAGCTAAGGGTCAGTATTTCCCTATGCGTCCATGATAATATTACCAGAGCATCTCAAATAATACGCTTTAAGCAAAATAGGCAATTAAGTAGAAATATAACTTCAATTATTCATGCAATAACAAATCATACATATGTTCCAACAAGTTCAAAATAAGTCCATTGTACAAAACCTAACTTATGAGTGTTTAGCTACTCATACTGATACAAATAAATATCAAGCAATAAGATGAAGATTGCATGAGAAAATCCTTGAAGATCTGGCCTCCAATGACTTCCAATGCTCTTAAAATCGTACTCCCGATGCTCTTTTCCATCACTTTCAGTCAAAATTCCAGAACCCCTAACAAGATGCTAAAAATCCCCTTTTAAAGCAGTCAAAACGCGTCAGAAAAAATCCAGAAAAAGGACCCATCACGCGCGTGATAGGATTTATCATGCAAGATGTTGCTCACACTAGTCCATCACGCGTGCGATACCGCATGATGTTCTGCGTGATTTTTCCAGTATCTTCCATATTTTTGCTCCTTTTTCCCTTCAATTTTTACCAAGTACATATTTTTCATACTTAGTGATTTTTGCATCGTTCTTTGGCCTTTATGTTTCATATTTACTCATTTTTTACTTGTTTTGCTATGATTTCTTGATGAAATATATGTAATGACAGAGTGTCATTAATGCTTGAACAATTTCGACTACAACATGCATATCCCAGTCGAACCATGAAGCTACCCGTGTCGAGACTAGATTTTGATCCAAAATACTACAAATTTCTACCTTGGAACAAACTCTACAACATGAAGGGAAAAAACTAGCTATCTTCACGCAACTTT